TAATACGTATGTGAGTCCCTTAATTGGATTACATATTTTCGTGTGTGTGGTAGAACATCAAAGGGTGTTTTTTCTACACATTTCTATAAATGCTTGTCATGTCAGATACAAAACACAAAAAGGACAATCAATAGATGTTATTTTTATATATATTGCAATATAATTCCAATTGAGTTTGCAAACACACACAAATGGTCTATTTGTACAGGATTGCGAACACGTTTCAAAGGTCCACTTAAAAAACCATTAAGTCCAATTCTGATGAACGTTATCATCTTTTCATTTAGATTACGCTGACAGCTGTGTTGATATTTGGCCACAAATTTCGACTTTTCAGTAGCTAATAACAGTGTGTGCTAAGTGGTGCAATGGGACTCTGGCTTTTGCTGTCTGTCTATGTAATTCCGAGTGGTTGAGTGGTTCCTCTTTTGCTGCTTTGTTTGCAGCTTGGCAAACAAGCTTTTTGGTGCTTATCCCTGTGCGCACAGCTGTGGCAACTGTTGCAGTACTGATAAGTACACACAAACACACATATGCCACAGACTGTGTGTGTGTGTGTGTGTGTGCGTTGCAACGTCCGCTTTTCATGTCGTCTCATTCACAGTTTTGAGGTGCTGCAGGTGAATTGCACTAGAGTGCCAATCTAAAAGAGTGATTAAGTGGCATTTAATGACTCTAGTTTGCGACTGTAAAAGCAAGTGTTTGCTTCAGGCTGGCAAGCAGCAACTTTTTGTTGTACTCCACTTAATTGCAAACTCTGCTGTAATTTGTCAGGCTTCCATTTAGTTTTCGGATTAAAGAAGGGCATGCTGACAGCTTAAGGCTGCAAATAACTAGTCTTTGCTGTTTCAATTTAATTAGTGAATGTTTAGGTGTAGTCCAGTCCAGGTAAGTTAATTAAGTTTCAAAAGTTCTCTCTCGGCAGCCAAGTATCTTTAACCAGTGGGAAATTCATACGTAATGCAAATTATGATCTTACGTTTTGTTATTTAACAACATTTGCACTTCAAGCTGTGGCAAGGCTAAGCATTTATTTCTATTACTCAATATAAGTTATTTAAATTAATATATATTAATACGATTTGAATTCTAACAAGTATACCTTAATTGTACTTTGAAATCAATCGCAAGGCTATCTAAGAGTTTCACAAAACGACTTTACACTAATTTTCCACAACTGCGAGTGGAGTCTTACAAATCCTTTTTCCGTTGTTCACTTAAATCACAGGGCTTACACTTTTGCATTCATATTTATCACATAAAACACATATATCTCAAAAAAAAGGGAATTGTGTGCAAGTTGGTTAATTGAAAAAATAGCCCAAGTAACATGATATTTGATATTTATTTTACTTTCTGTACAAACCTGTTGTGGCTGGTTGATTGAACTCGGCATTGTTTGAAGTTCATTTGAAAATAGAAACTCGATTGAAATACCAGAAGGTATTAAATGAAATTCTCGTCGCATGTAACTCATTGTCAATCGCAATTCGTTGCCTCTTCTGATGGATGCTCCACGAGGCAACAACAATCTGGCCTTTAGCTCTGTTGGGGCTGCTGGACACAGGAGGAAGAAGGAGGTAGACGGATGGCTGTGTCGTGCGATGCGAAGGAAATAAGACAACTGGGTGCTCGATAGAATTCTGGGAATTTTACTATATCTTGCATGTAAAAATATGTCAATTGTATCCATTTCTTTGTCAGCCATGAATGACAATACAATAAACAACTGCATCATTGCAGCGAGTTCGGATCTAATGTAATAATTGGTATATTGGCATTCAGGGGGTCCGTCGCATCGCTGGGCAGTTCCGGAATGTGGCCGCTGTCGCTTGTGCCATTGCCAGCTGGAACGAGCAGAGCTTAGTTTGTGTTCTTAGGTGCCCCTTTTGACTTTGTATTACCTGCGGAAGCTGCTGCTTTGCTTTGCTGCTCCTCCTCCTCGGTGATGGTGGAGAAGTTGGTCGGCCGCTGTGATGTGATCAATGGACTGGCGGCCAACATGCGATGTGAGTGCCTTTTGCTTTTGCCCGCGTTGGCAGCTGTAAGGGACTGGCGCTTCGATTTGGTAAGCGTCTCGGGCTCCTTAAATACCACCGTGGGCTGCATTTGGATTTGGATGGCAGGAGGAGTAAGTAGTATAAGCTTGGAAACACGCACATGAACTCACCGTTTGAGCAGGATGCTGCTGCTGCTCGGCATGTTGCATTCGATAAGCCTGATACTGTGATATGACACAGAGCAAACAGTAGAGCTTGAAATGGAATCAAATTGAAATAGATTACGAAGCGGAAATTGCCAAACAAGTCCGTTCACTCACATTCAGGCAGAGGATGAAGAAATCTATGGTGAATATGAAACCAACAATGGGATCAAAAATCACACGACGCGACAGCGTCAGGTGGACAAGATGGGCGACTTCGATAAGCAAATCGCAGAGCATTAAACCTATCCAGGGCAACAGCAATTGACGTTTGTTCTGCAAAAGGTGTAAATTGGTTGCGAAATGTGTCAAAGGTCAACTCAGGTGGCCACACTCACATTCCGCAGTCCCACAATCAGCAGCAGCGATGCCACAACCATCAGCATCGAGCAAAACAAAAACAATACGTTGAATATCACAGTTACTGCAATCACAAATCACGTCAATCAATTGCGTTGGATAACCTTTTGCTACTTATATGGCTTTCTGCCCTGACGCCTCCCTCTCTCTCTCTCTCTCTCTTACCTACAGTTACATCACCCTTCTCCAGGATGCTCTCGCCCAGCGGTTGGTTTCTCTGGCCAAGCAGAAACGCCTGCTCCTCCTTCAGATAGAACGTAAACATAAACGTGGACAGGCCAAAGTAGAGCTGCAATATTAAAAGTAAATCTAATCAAGATTAAGAGCTTCTAGTTTTAGAACATATTTCTATTGTGCGATTTTCTTTCAATTGTTCACTTCATTTTCCCAATCCTTTTCGACTCACAGTCTATTGAGCTAAGCATTTTATTAAAAATTCTGTGTTTTCAAATGCGATTAACGGCGAAAGAAGCGCTTGATTTATAATTGGTTTGTCGATTGGACTAAGCTATTTTCTGCTCTCGTTGTATTCTCCTTTCTTCCATTCATATTTTGCATTTTCTCTGACGCGATTGCAGCTCGAGTCCTTTTCGAATTAATCTTTAGCGCATGACGAATTACAACAACAACAAGGGAAGGAACTTGATTTTGTCATAACTTTTCGCTTAATTGTCGCTCTACGTTTTGCCGTCGATAAGCTTCTCACTTCGTTGGTCTTTTGTCATCCATTCATTCGATTGGCTTGTCGTTTGGTCTCATTCATTTTAGTTTCTTGCTTTTTAACTTGTCTAGCTTCTCGCTTGATTTATAATTGTCTCAATTCTCGCTCCACTTCTCGCGCTGCCTTTTGCAAAGTTTCTCTTTTCGGTTTTTTTACTTACTTGGCTTCTCGCTTGATTTATAATTGATTTAATTCTCACTTCGCTTCACGCGCGTTCTTTCACAATGTTTCTCTTGTCTGTCACAATGTTCCTCGCTTCTCGCTTTGCTTCTTAGTTTGCTTCTTAGTTTGCTTCTCGCTTGCTTAAGTTTTCAAATTGTCACTTTTGGCACTTTAGCTGGCTCTAAGCTTTGCTACACTTACTCCCATTTTGCTTCTCGCTTTTTCTCGCCATCTTTTACTATTCGCTTAAGTATATGCAGGAAGATAGGCTAAACTGTTGTTTATCTTGGCTAAGTTTGTTTTTTCTTCTAACAAATCAAATCTCTTGTAATTGATTACCCACCAGAGTGTAAAAGGCGCAGGCAAAGCTGCCTTTACGCACGCTCCTCCAAAAGCAGCAGGACTCGAGTATGGCCATTTTGTGGGCTGTCTTATTCCACCAAACTTATATATATATATACATTGGGAAATCGTAAGTGAAAGTCTTTTGTATAACGGCAGCCGCCACTTTCACTTTACTTTTTGACACTTGCTCGGGGCACTGGGCAGACGGCAGTTTGTCTTAGGATGCCGCCAGCTTTTTTATTGGCCTCTTTTTGTTTTCTTGGGGTTTCTAGGATATTTTGTGGCCTGTCATTGGCCTGCTTATCTATAAACACTGACACTTAATTTCATATACAACGCACGCAGATTTATGACACTGATTTATGTGCCGTATACCAGGCTATATATTCATGTATGGCCACCGACTGCATTTGCCGATTCAACCGTTCGCTTTGAAAGACGCGCCAGAACTAATTCGAATTGTGTTGTTCTGTGAACTCGGAACATGGCCAACAATTCGAACATCGAACCGCATTTTATGAATGAAACTTCGAAAGGGCGTAAGCAGCTGTTGGGCCTCAGGGGCGTCGGTGGAGAGTCAACGCATGCGCCAGCCCGTGCTCTGGGCCAAAAAGCAACAGGCGGCTTTGGCATTGGCAGTGGCCGATTTGCATGTGACGCGAAATGAAGCGAAATCTATGCAAAACTCAAGCAACGGGTGGTCGCAGGCCACGCGGCGTATACGCAATGTCTATAGTTCGCACGAAAATAGCCAACTGTGCGCGCATTTAATTTATTTATAAGCCGCAAATGTGCAGAGTTGGCTCTGGAGCTGCCGCATGCATTCATTTTCATTAAAGCAGTCCACGATAGATGAGCAGGATGCGGATTCCAACCCCAGGAAGTGTGTCTGAATAGATTTTATTCAGCTGTATTCAAAAACAGCTATATCGTTTACTTATCATATTGTTAATTGTAATAAAAAAGATTATTTGATTATAGCCAGGCCTATTGCACTAAACGCAGCCACTTATTTGGGGCAGATGACTCGATGATTCCCTGTGTCGAGCATGACTAATGGTCATCGATGGCGTCGATAAGCCGCAGCTGATGGCCATGAGCGTCGACGGCTTAGGCGCCAGGAAGCGCAAGCAGTCAGCTGGAAAACTGATGAATCACATGAATTGAAACGAAGGACACAGAATTCGAATCGGAGCAGGCGTTGCAGCGACCTTTCGTCTGTTATTGCCTTGTCAAAACCGACTGCTCCTGGCTATGGATGGTAAAGATAATGGACGTAGGGCGCTAAGTAAAACGTCCAGCATTGCGTGAGTATTAAAATATTCTAGTTTGTCCATGTACTGAAAATGTATTTACCGCAAGGGCGGATAGATCAAAAAACAAGGATGTCAAAAAGACGGTGGATAGGGGTCAACAGACAAGCAACTATAAATCGAATATCAGAGATTTTCGTATGCACTATGAGGGCAGTGTCAGCTCTAACTCTGTTGAGGATATAAGAGCCAAGGCTGCACGTTCCACTAACGAAATGGAACAACATCTTGACTTTGATGATCTCTTGCCGGAAATTGGCGAGTTCGGATGCTTTCAGAAAGTTCTGTTCGTTTTGATGATACCCTTTTGCTACATATCCGCCTTTGTGTATCTAAGCCAGATCTTCATGACGCTGCCGCCGGATAAATATTACTGCTTTGTCAACGAGCTGTCGCTTATAGCCAGCGAGGAGGAGCGCAAACAGCTTTCTATACCCAAGGAGGCCGATGGCAGCTACAGTCGCTGCCAGATGTATGATGTCAATTATACGGCCGTGTTTAAGTCCAAGAATCGCAGCGAGCTAATCAATAGTTCGCTGCCGCTTATACCCTGCCGGGAAGGTTATGTCTTTGACCGCAACGAGCCTTTTCGTACGGCAACCATGGAGTTCGGCTGGGTCTGCGCCAATGATCGCTATGCCACATACGCCCAAGTGATCTTTTTTCTGGGCTCCGTTGCAGGTTGCCTGGCCTATGGACACTTTGCGGATCATTGCGGTCGCGTGGCTGCTTTGGTTAGCAGCTGCTCCCTGGCATTCTTCGGCAGTATTTTTACATCGATGGCCACTGACTTTGTTAGCTTTGTCATTATTCGCCTGATTGTTGGCGCCTCCTTTGATACTTGCTTCACCATGATCTATATACTGGGTACGCAACAGTTGACCTATAATGACCTTTTACCCGAACTCAGGCCGAAAGAAGCATCTTTGAAGCATCTAAATCTAGCCAAGCCCATCCGTTTGTCCGTTCGAGCTCGGAGACTACAAAAGCTAAAGACTTGGATATTTCAAATAAATATTCGCCCATACGCACAACGAGCTTGTCATTTTACTCAGATATCTCTTCTCATTTCCAAAATATCGATAATTATCGGTTTTGAGACTTGCTTGCTTAGGCATATCTCGAGGATTGTAAGAGCTATAGATCCCAGCTTGGTGTGAAGGTGTTTGTATAGTACTTATATACAGATTAGGAATGCTTCACTTTTTGGATAAAAGCCCCAAATTATTCAGGAATGCATTACCGAAGTGTTGGGTTGGGTATCTGCTAGTCGGGCACTTCCGACCAGAGCACTCTTATTTGTGTTGATTTAGACTTCCAATGCCTACATTCCCATCCGTAGTACTCGAGTATGTTGGACCGACGTATCGCACCTTCGTGGGCAACATGTCGCTGGCCATGTTCTACTCGCCGTTCACCATGCTGATACCCTGGATGGCCCTATTGCTGCGCACCTGGGGAAACTTTGCTTTGTTCGGCTCGATACCCATTGCTTTTGCTCTATGCGCATATTGTTATTTGCCCGAATCGGCGCGCTGGCTGGTCTCTGTGGGCAAGATCGACAACGCAATTGACATACTGAAGAACGTGGCAGCTAGAAATAAACGAACCGTTTCAAAGAGTTACTGGAAGAAATTCTACGAGAATTGCGAACTGTTCTACAAAGAGGAGTTTGAGGGTCGTAGCTTTACGGTATTTTCGATTTTTAAACGTCGCCGCCTGGCTCGCTATATGGTGCTCATGGTATTTATTTGGATGACTATGTCACTGATCTATGATGGCCATGTACGCGCCGCGTCTGTCCTGGACAAGGAGAACGTGGTTGTTGTCTTTACCATAGCCTGCGCCACAGAGCTGCCGGGCGATCTTCTCGTTATTGTGACCCTGGATCGCTTTGGACGTCGCTGGTGCGCCTTTACCTTTACCACGCTGAGCGGCGTTTTCAGTTTGTTGGCGGCTAACTTAAAGAATCCCACACACACATTGGTGGCCGCTTTGGCGGGACGCTTCTTTGCCAATGTTTGCTACAACATTGGACTGCAATGGGCGGCCGAAGTGCTGCCGACGGTGGTGCGTGCCCAGGGCGTGGCCTTCATACATACCATGGGCTTTGTGGCTATGTTACTCTCCCCGCCGGTCATCTACCTGTCTAATGTATCTCTATCGCTGATGCTCAACACTCTGGGTTTGCTGGGTATTTTGGGTGGCATTCTATCGTTGTTCCTGCCGGAGACCTTGCACCAAGATCTGCCGCAAACGCTCAGCGATGGCGACGACTTTGGCAAGGATCAACGCATGTGGCATCAACCTTGTTGCGGACCGGGAGCGAGGCGCACGCAACGTTTCAAGCGAAACTGGCACGAGGGCTCCAGCTTGCGCACCCTTTCACGAGATGAGTTCCGATCCAAAAAAATGCATCGCGTCGCCGTGGTTAGACCACATGCAAGCAGCTTCATCACCCGCATGCCTTCTTTAGTCAGCCAGGGTACAGAGGTTTTGGAAAGGATAGAAAAGTATACACCACACGATGGATTAAAACGAAACAAGAAATAATTATAAATCTAGATTGTCCAGTACACCTGTCGACAGGTATAGTTCAGAACCAAATTGTTAAGTTCGACGAAGCTGCTGTTTATCCAATTTACCAGCAGCTTGTAGAAATTTTTGTATTCCAGTTTATTTTGTGGTTGTGCCGTGTGTTTAAATTTACAATATTAAAAAGCCAAAATTTCTGTTTTATACATTTTTTTCGCAACTCCATCCAAATATGACTTATATTTCACTCTCATGGAGCTTGCAGCCATTTTGTTAATAACTTGTGTGTTTCTCAACCGATCTTGACGAAATTGTCAGCATTGATTCATATTGTGCTATAGAATATTCTTAAATAAAATTGGTTTTAAATTTTGGCTTAAATTAGGTCCAAGTGAGAGATAAATGTTGACTTTGGTAACTCTAGATCTTAAGACCTTTGCTAAAAAAAATCGCTATCAATTTTTATAGATTGCTTGGAAACGGGACAGGTGTCGATCATCTAGCTATCGATCATTACTAACAAACTAGGACCTACGTTCAAAATTTGGGTTGGGTTGGGGATCAACGCGTCTATACATACGGACAGACAATGGGAAATGCCTAGATCGACTCTGATCTCGATTATTATTAAGAACATATATGCCTTATGGGTTCGGAGCTGCTGCCTTCTGCCTGTTACATACGTTTGCACAAAATCAATATACCCTTGTTACCCATTTTTAATGGGTTCCGAGTAACAAAATCAAATTAAATTCAAGCATCATAATTGCTGTATCGAACGCTTTCGTTCCATCCATTTGCTGAGAGACATTTCCAACCAAACATGAGCTATGTATATCTTTAGTATGCAATCAAATATAGCACGTGTAACACCATCTAATGATGCGAATAACTCGAACTGTATCGGGAGTGAAACTCCAGTCAGTGTTACGAGTAGCTCGATTCGTATCGGGACTGAGCATTGTCCTTCTGCTCATCAACTATGTGCTTTTCATTCGAATTTGGCGCGAACCTCTAACATTTATCAGCGATGAGAAGTATTTCAATAGGACGCTTGCGAAAATCTTAAGACCTCGCTGGTCAGGTAGCCTGGGTCATTCGCAGGTGGGCGATTTTCTTATCGAGGAGCTACAGGACTTGGGTTTTATTGCGCTACGCGACGAATTATTTGACGAAAAGATTTTTACCAATTTTTTGGGCATTATGAATACGGAGGCATCAAGTTTTTTATTGCTCACCTGTCATTATGACTCGAAGTTCTTGAAGAATGCCGCAAACTACGTGGGAGCCACAGATGGTGCCGTTTCCTGTGCCATTCTTCTCACTATGGCCAGGACGCTGGGTCCCTATTTACGCGGAGAGTTCTCACAGCGCGATGACATTGGCTTGCTGGTAAGTGTTTACTAAAAGTTTAAAAACGTCTAAGATAAACGTCTTGTTTATATTTTCAGCTGGTTTTCTTCGATGGACACGAGTCCCTGAACGAGGTGGAAGAAGATTTTAATTCGCTTAATGGATCGCGACGCTTTGCCGAGGTGGAAACCATACCATTGAAAAATATTGCAAGTCTCCATAACTTAATCAAATTGAAATTCAATTCAAGCTAAAATATTGTGTCTTAGGAGTTGGTTGTCACGCTTAACCTAATTGGTGCACCCAACCATATCTACATGAGTCACTACGAGGACACATTTGTATTGCACAATCGTCTGGCAGATATTGAACGGGATATGCAGATGGCAGGCAAGCTGACCAAGTGCCATAAGCTGTTCCACAGCCTGAAAGATCACGAGAGCGATATTGAAGACGATCACTATCCGTTTCTTGAGGAGGGTTCGCATTGATATTGATTGATATGTTGTCAATTTTGGACTATTTTTTCACCTTTTTAGGCGTGCCAGTTTTGCACATAGTGCCCCATACCTATCCAGACGCATGGCACACTGCGGGTGATAATTTTATGAGCCTGCATTGGCCGACAATACGTAATATGAACGCAATTATTCCACGATTTGTTTATGAGTTTTTAAAAACTAACCGAGAAACCGCATAAAAGTATTGAATTAATGTTTAAATTATTTATTCATTAATTTTTTCCATTTTTTTTATATTGAGAAGTTAAGTATTTGTGTTCTATAGGTTCAATTCTTGCTAAATTTCAAACGAGAGGTTTCTGAATAAATGCTAATAAAGGTAAAATTTTCAATTTTATCTAGGACACAAACCACACGAGTTTAATCGCACTTGGAAACCGAACAAGTCACAATTGATTTAAATTATGTATATATTTGAAATCAAAGCGCAATCGAGACAGTTATTTGAGCTTTGAGGCTTACGTATAAAAGCTGAAGTTTTTTTAAGCGTGCGAGCTTATGCCATAAGCCGTTACGCTCTGTGCACGCACGCAAAGCTTTTCTCAGCTTTTGCTTATGTACACAAAGCGTACACAGTCATACGCATGTATGTACTGTGCTTGCATGTGTGAGTGTTTAGTTTGCGCGCCATGAGCGAACGCAGAGCAGCTGCCCAGATCGTTAACAACAACAACAACAACAACAACAACTACTACAACGGCCATGGTAATTTGTTTTAACATACCAGTCATACAGAGATCTGTTCCAGTGCGCCGTAACACTTCAACTGTATCGGGACGTAGCTTGTTAATATGTCGCATTCGTGGTTTTTCATTTTCGTTTCGATTTGGCTGCTGGCAGCTGATAACGTAGGCGCACAGCAGTCCAACGTAAGTTGGGATGAATCTCCCCGTGCGCTGACTCACAAAGCGAGTAAATAATAATAACTGATCTCTTTTAAGCGGCGGCAGGCCGCTAACTGGGCTGACGATGAGGCACATTTCAACAGCAGCCTGGCTTCAATATTGGTGCCACGCGTTGTTGGTAGCCGTGGCCATACGCAGGTGCGCAACTACCTGGTGAATTCGTTAAATGGGCTTGGCTTTCAAACGGAAGTGGATGAGTTTAAGCAACGTGTGCCAATTTTTGGCGAGCTAACGTTTGCGAATGTCATTGGCTACATCAATCCTCAGGCGCAAAACTTCTTGGCACTTGCCTGCCACTACGACAGCAAGTATTTTCCAAATGATCCCGGTTTCGTGGCTGCCACGGACTCGGCTGTGCCCTGCGCCATTCTCTTGAATACGGCCAAAACGCTGAACAGCTATTTGCTGCAGCAGTTTCGCAATCGCAATGATCTCGGCTTGATGGTGCGTCTGAGTGCGCTTAATATTGCCCTTAATTGCAATAATCGCATTAATTTTCTAGCTGATCTTCTTTGACGGCGAGGAAGCCTTCAGGGAGTGGAGCAACAGTGACTCGGTTTATGGTTCGCGTCATTTGGCCAGCAAGTTGGCGCGCACGCGCAGTCCGACATCCACGTCAGATCAAGCCAATCTAGCTCCACGTCACATCGATCGCATTGTAAGTTGTTGACTTAGCGGTTAGACAGGCTCTTCTATTAATTGAACTTGTATCCTGCTTAGGAGGTGCTCGTGCTGCTGGATCTGATTGGTGCTCGCAATCCGAAATTTTCTAGTTTCTATGAGAATACGCACGGTTTGCATACTAGTCTGGTGGAGATTGAGCAAACATTGCGTACTGCTGGCCGGCTGGAGGGCAATAACAAAATGTTTCTGAATCGACCCGCTGGTGGATTGGTAGACGACGATCATCGTCCGTTCCTGGAGGAGAATGTGCCCATATTGCATTTGATAGCGACACCTTTTCCGGATAGTTGGCACACGCCAAGAGACAATGCTGCCAATCTGCATTGGCCATCAATACGTAACTTCAATCGCGTCTTCCGCAACTTTGTCTACGAATATCTGAAACGGCATACTGCACCCGTAGATTTGCGTTTCCATCGCAAGTAGAGTTGTATAGGTTTGATGTGGCTTAAATATTATCATTGTATTTATCGTGTAAATTGTGTTTTTGTTAATAAAAAAGTCCTAGTTAATGCAGCCGCTTTTTTTTCGGTTTAGCGACGCTTGCGACCGGTCTGGCCCTTTTTGCCCGGTGCACGCTGACCTTGATGACCCTTAGGCTTCTTGCCTACTGCCTTGCGACTGCCTTTGCCCTTCTTGCCACCCTTTTTCGCAGGTCTGTTGGCGCCTTCAGCCTCGCGTCTAATAAAATATAGAAATTAATTAATATGCTATTTTGGGTTGTGCTAGCAGCATGTCTTACTCTATCCGCTCGTCTTGTTTTTGCAGCGATATCGCCTTATCCACATCTATTTTGGGCTTTTTACTAAGAACACTCTTGATAAGATCCAAATTGGCCTCTCTCTCAGGCTGTGCTGTGATATGCGATGCTTTGCGTTTGCCGCCTGGTATCAGTTCCTTAACACCCAGACCACGTGCCTCCTTCTCTTTAGGCAATTTGCTTTGGAATTTGCCCACCGATGCAGTTGAAGATTTGGCTACCGTCACGGCAGTAAGCAGCTGGTTGGAAGATGCGGCCTCTGGGCCCAGATAGCCGCTGCGTGGCATGTCAATCTTTTTGGCCCGCACAATGTTCCGCATACGCTGAATCTCGTTCTTGGCAACCTTCTCGTTGCGCAAGTCCATCTTCTTTTGGAACATGTCTGTGTTGGGATCCGCATTCTGGGGCACCTCCAGCACCCAGTCCTTATCTTTCTCAGCCTCGGCTCGTTTGAAGCCATACGTAGGTACCCATTTCTATGTGGTTGCATGGTTAGTTATATTATCGCTGTAATTTCTAGAGTACTTACATCCAGGACATCATCGTAGGTTTTCTTGTCCTTCTTTTTCTTTGTGATGCCCTTTTCCTTGGCGAACTTCTCCCATTTCGTCAAGGGACGTGGACCTGGCGGTTTGCGTAGACGCGGCAGCACAGTTGTTGGCTCGGGCAACTTGGCCACAATACTTTCGTCCACACGTTCGGTTGGCAGTTCCCAAATAGCATTGACCAGCAGTTGTGTATTTTCACGGGTCAGAGCAGCCAAATACTCCTCCTTATTGTTGCTACATTAATTCAATATTTATTTTAAATGCCTACAATGGTTTTGCACATTTTACTTACGCGAGCTGCCGGTCGTCAAAATCATTGGGATCTGTGATGAGTAGGGTGCCTACATCTATGCGGCATTCAAGATGTTTTTCTACTGTAATTGGCTTGTATTTATCCAATTCCTTTTGGTGTTTTTCTAAAACTGCTTTAACAACATCCATTTTGTGTGAAAAAACAGCAATCCAATAACTTTAATATTTATACACGTGCGTTGCCAGTAGTGTTGGGTTGGACGTGAGAGAGTGAACAAAAAAGAACTGGTTCCCTGCTGTGTGCACAGCTGTGGGCACTGAACATTTTTAACATTAGATAAAATGTTATTAGAAGCGCGCACTAAAGTGATATCGGTAAGATCGTTGGTTAGTGGAATTAAAAATTTCAGAAGCAGCTGAAAAAAGGAAAAATGTATTTAAGCCGGCGTCTTAGAAAAAGAAACGCGGATGACGCTCGAAATTAATAATAACAGCTGCAAACTGCGTTGAAATTTGTATGGCTGTTAACTAGTTTGGTATTGACACAGCTAAATATCGATACATTTTGAGCTCATTACAATACGCCTTTATACATGTCGCTGAACCCACATATCGGTCAGCGTTGGATAACTTAAATGGCAGGTCTACATGGTTTGTTTCTGGTTAAAATAAAAACATGCAGTTTGGCACATATATTATCGACCACTTTAAATAATCGACAAGCCACCACAATACATAATTACAGTGCTGGAAAGAGCGCACTGGTTCAGCTACAGTAAAAGTTCGTTCGCTCTTTAGTTAAAATGGCGCCAAAGTTATAAATTTGGTGGCAAAAGTTGTATTTGTGTAAATTTTTTTTAATTCGAAAATCATGGATGAATTGGCGCAGTTGCGCAAACGCATTACTACATCTTTTAAGTTATGCGGTTTTCTGATTCGGTCCGAGAACAGCACTTACCTCGCCGAGCAACTGCTGCCCTTCGAGCCGGCCGAGCGTGAGAAATGGATGACGGTCATAACGGAGAATCTACAGGGACAGAAGCTGTCAACGCCGCATGTTGAGCGAGAAGCGTTGGAAAAGGCTATCAATGAACTAAATCGCGTTGGTTTGGATGAGGGCGAGACAATTTTTTCACTAATCGATGCATTTACCGTGCCACGCAACCGCTACAACACGCGGATCAAAAAGTTTGAGCTGGACACGCAGCCGCGACGCCTGCTGACACAGCCCCGCATGAAGTCTGACTATCTGCAGCAGCGCTATGCAATGTTGCTGCAGAAAACCCTGCGGCATGATCTTTTTGCGCCAGCAATCATCCAAGATGGCGTTGCAGCCGCAGCGCAGTCAAAAAAATTCAAATTGCAGTACGCAGAAAACTTGCTGGCGACATCCCACTTGAAGGAGGCTGTGGTATTGGGTCTGCTCACTCAGCTCAAGGAGGGCAAATTCTTCGTGGAGGATCCAACGGGTTGTGTAGAGCTTGATTTAAGCGGCGCGCGTTTCCATGCTGGCTTCTTCTGCGAGGGCTGCTTTGTTCTCGCGGAGGGCAGCTATGCGAATGGCGTACTAAAAGGTGAGTCTTGTTTAAATGTCTAGCGCTGCGGTATGATAACCACTTACACTTTACATTACAGTCGATGGTTTAGGCTTTCCGCCCGCTGAGCCAGCCACCAGCAGCCGAGCCTTCTTCGGCACCGGCAACACTTGGGGCGGCGAGTCCACAAAGCTGCTGAAGTACTCGCCACGTTTGCAAGAAGTCGAGCGCACCAACACGGAGACGACGCTGGTATTTCTTTCTGATGTGCGTTTGGATCTGCCAGTTGTCATGGACAAACTGCGCCAGCTTTTTGTCGGCTATGATTCCTGTCCGCCCCAGGCCATTGTCCTGATGGGGCCCTTTACGGCCAGCACGCGCAATCACCATGAGCTACGTCAGCATTTGGATGCTCTGGGCGCATTGGCCGCCGGCTGCGAGCAGCTTAAAAAGCAGACCGATTTAATTCTCGTGCCCTCCGCGGAGGATCCGACAGCACCGAACATTTTACCACGCGCTCCGCTGCCCGAGTGTCTGGCCGCTGGCCTGCTCAAGGCTTGGCCGCGCACCCAGCTGGCCACGAATCCCTGCCGCTTGCAGTATTGCACTCAACAGATTGTCGTCTGTCGTCTGGATCTTATGGCCAAATTCTGTCGCAATACGCTGCACTTTCCGCCAGACACAACGCACATCGAGCAGCACTTTGCACGCACGCTCGTCTGTCAGGGTCATCTGGTGCCAATACATCCAATTGCGATGCCCGTGCACTGGGATTATGACCCGGCGCTGTGGCTTTACCCACTGCCTGATCTCATTGTGATGGGTGACTCCTGTCAGAGCTTTGCCAGCACTCAGCATGACTGCACAGTGTTGAACACCGGCTCCTTTGTCAAGTCCAAGTTCGCATTTAAGGTATACATACCTGCCACACGCACCATTGAGGACTCCGAGATACCCGGAGACATGGATACAAGCTAGGCCTACTTCTGCCCACAAATGTATGTTGAAACATTTCCCCAAATCAATCCCAATAGATATATATATATGCATGTGTATTTGTATGTATATTTGCCATATTAACTTTGGAGCCTCACATGTTGCGTTGTTCCCCGCCCCCCCACCCACTTTCCATGCGTGTTTCACAGTTGATAAGCGTTGAGCGTCACCCTCGTCGGGCATCATATGCGGCACAGCATGTGTTCCACAATCTTTTTGGCTGCTGACGCGCCTCGCAATCTGCTTTTTACTACTCGTCGGGGGTTGTCTATTATTTTTCATGACTTAAAGCCGATTTGGAAGAATATTGTTGCTCTGCTGGCGACGTCACTTAGCGCCGTGGAAATTCAATTTCCCAGCCGCACACACATAGCGCCTCGCCAGCTGAAACGGCAATTTTGTTAATGCGTTTGACCTGAGGACATCAATTGCCCTCGTTTTGTGACATTGCTACTTTTTCGTTTCTCGATTTGGGCCACCCTGGGCCCAAAATCGTTTTTTAAGACATCATTAGCCCATGGCCGGCAGAAGGATATAAGGGCGACGTTTCCGATTGCTGCTGGCAGCGTTCTCTATTGATTTATGATTTATTGCCAAATACTTTGATAGTTCCATAAAGTGTTCGGTGTCCGGTGTCCCTTTCTATGTATCAATTTCCAAAATGTGTCCAGTGTGCAAATTCAATTGCCAGGGCGGTTCACAGAGCTGGGCGTGTCTTTGTTTTGGGCTGCCATTGTTTTCCATTTTGCGAGCGTCTGCTGGAGTCTGCAACCCCCCAAACTTTGAAATATATTTGTGCCGGGACGACAATCTTGCTTCTGCTTCATTTAACTGGTACATTTGCAACTTTTAAAATTTAAATATTGTTTGCGACTGCTCCGCAATTGGCGAAGTGGAGCAATAACATAAAAAAGCATTTTATCTCGGCTGGTCATTATTTTTTATGATGCCCACACAGTTGACACCATTTACATGATTCCAACGAACCGCAGCAGACCCCATCCTGCCCCTATGCCCGACCACAGAATTCGATTAAAGCAATCGCTGATGCGGAATCTTTCGAAAGCTGTTGATGGAGACACAATCGCTGAGCCCCAGGCTCATCAATCAGTGTCACAGCTGCGCCTCAAGTGGTCGATGCAACTCCAATCAAGGATCAAAGCAACTGGACGGGGGCTAGCCGGCGACACATCATCAACCAGCTTCTAACTCTTCCACACATCCTGTTCCAATCACACACAGGATGCGGCCAAGTGCATGTCCTGTGGTTATTTGACAATTGTTCGACTTGTTAGCATATCCTTCACTGATTTTCCAATGCTGGCAAGTGGCCATATGTCAGGCGTCCCATATAATCATGTATTCCAGTCGCTTTTGTGGTGTGATTTTTTTTGTATTTTTTAATTTTCATGGTTTAAAAAGGGGGCGGGGCATGGTCTTAAATATGTATTGTATACCCTTATGCCGGAGGTGAACGAGGTGGTTATGATGAATGCCAGACATAGGGGTTGATATTTAGCAAGCATGTTGATTTTCATTTTATGCTAAAGCTCTTAACGGATCAGAAGTTACATTTTCGAATAATTTAAGATTATACGGATCGTTTTCATAAGTCTAGCATTAATTCTGGAAATGGGTATTTAGAATGGTGAACTTTGAATATACCAAGTTTTTATAATCGCAACTAATATTGCGTAAATATAGGGCGTACTTTTTCAATAAATACTTTTAAAAGGATTCAATATTTTGTTATTGCTTGTCGCTTAAGGTCTAGTTGTTATTGTATTACTAATTTGTTTAAATCAATGGTTCTAAATATAAAACAAAATTTTGTAAGTTGTAACTGCGTATTAAAATAGTTGCCATTTCACTATTTAAAATTGTGTTAAGCGAGTATCTAGGTTCGAAGTCTTAGCCGATGGAGACGCTTCTATTCTAAAGGCTAGATTGAGGTTTTCCTATTCTTTAAATAATAAAATAATAATTATATAATGATAAGCTCTTCAACTCTTTAACTAAACAAGCTTAACACAGTTGTGTTAAATTGTTGCTCCATGGTAAAACACACATAAATGGGTCTCTGTTAAGCTCGCTTTGGCTTTATTATAGCTTGTCGCTTGTAATTCTCAACAAGTTGAAAATTCGAAACAATGGCAAGACGCTTGCAATTCTAGAGTCGATAGCAATGTCTGCTGAAGATAGATTCGTATGTTCCTAAAAGAGCTAAAAACACAACCTGCTTTTTAGTTTATTATTATAAAACTAATAAATAATAATAAAAGATTATTAAAGGGTATTTAAGGCATCAATACCCTTTCATTCTACATTCTTTTTGCTCGCATATGGTCAAAGGTTTTGTCGGGCACTTTGAAACCAGTCCATCAGCTGGAAAATCAAAAGCCGCCTTTGTTTATGTGAATTTCTTTGTTTCATTCATTGATATTTGCGGATAGCTAATTCAACTTTTTATGCACCCTGCAAATGGCGCGTTTATGAGATTTTTCGCATAGTGCATAAAATTTTGATAGGGTTATCATTGACTTTGTTGCCAGGCAGGCAGCCAACAAAATCCATACTAAAACCGAATGACTGCAATGAAAACGCATACACGCAGCGAACTCATAAGCCCGAGTGGCAATTGTCACAAACATAAACTCCACTTGGAGACGGTTAAGAGGGCGACGACAATGTTCCAAGTTGGGCTGCGCAGTGCGGACGTG